AGTACAGAAAGGATTTTTAACCAGAAGGTCAGGTTTCATCAACTGAGCAGGGAGTTGTTTGCATTCCTAGGGCTATGCTGGGGGAGTGGATGCACCGGTGTGGTGCCCCCTCCCTGCCCAGCTGGCGGAAGCCTTCTCTAATTGCCTCTGATGGGCTGTGCGAGGGTCTCGAGTGGCCTGGTCGAGTGTGAGGGTAGGAAACCAGCAAAAGGGCAGAGGGATTTAATAAAGAAATGCAGGTGTGTGATGGTAGCTTGCTTTGATAGGAATTCTGTTTACAGCAAAGAAAACGATGCAGCTTTTGTGAACCTGGATTTCAGTGAATTAATACGGAGTGCCAGAGAAACACCCAGGTTAAGGTAAAGCAAATAACTGGCTGAACGCTGTGGTACTGGGTAGGTGGTGTTGAAAGGGCAAACAGGAGGCTGGAAGGCAGTGACTAATACCATGAAGGTAATTTTTGGAATTCCAGTACGTACATCTACAAGCATTTACAAAGCAGGGTACAGAAATAATAACAACCTTCCTAAGGAAGGAATTTTCCTATTTTCTGAAATCTGTGAAGGGTGTTGATAGTTGGAGTCTTGGTGTCTTGGAGATGGACCCCAGCGCAGAGGGCTGGGCAAGAGCCTGCTGGCAGCTGGTGTGTCGGCTTGGCTGGAAAATGTCACCAGGTATGCAGTGGGAGAATGCAGGCTGGTACAGTTAATGCTCGCTTTAACCTTAAGGAAGCGTCCTACCGCTGTGCCTAAAACTTTGTTTCCTCTAAGTGAAATGGAACACTTACCTATGACCTTGATTTTGGAGAGAAGCTAAATCCTGGATGATGAGATGGATTGTGCTACTGCAGGACTGCAGAGGAAAGGGTAGAGTTTTTACAGAACTATGTATTACAAACTAATTTGTGAATATAAAAATAATTCATCAGCTGCCCTACATGGGCTTTCCCTTTGGGTCGCAGCGCTGGGGACAACACACGTTGTTCCTGTTGTGTCTGCTGGCACATGTCATCCAGCTGTGGGAGAATAATGTCCCAGGGCAGTTAGCTCAGTAAGCTGAAGGAGGGAGCCGGCTGACCCCACCGCTGCGGTACTCGGGTCTCTAAGATGATGTATGGAGTAAGGGATGGTTTGCATGTGTGGTCAGCTGGAGCTTGGAAGCCCAGTTTGTACCAAGATGAATCAAGGTTACTTCATCTCACTAGGAATGCACGTAACTTACCTCTACTACATGGCAGATAGAGCTGGAGCAAAGCAGTAGCAGGCCTGAGACGTGTTCTCTGGAGTGGTCTTCTAATGCACGTTCAAACAATCCTCTGTGATAACCTCATTTCAAAAGAAAAACTGGCAGTTGGTCACATGGTTTGTGGTGACAGTTCCAGCACGTCAGTGGCGTGTGGCCTGTTCTGCGCGCGCTCTGCTGCCGCAGCAAGCACCTTCACCGGCGATGCTTTACCGGTCAGAAGAACCACGAAGGCCCTGCTACTGTGGGAACCTTGTCTTGACATACGTGGCAATGCAGTCCACGTTAGCTCCTAAAACTGCACCAAAACCTGTGATATTTCAGCAGCTGAAGTCTAAAACTCCCACTAGTGTTTGTTTACTCTAAAGATGTCGTTAAACTTTGTTGATGTGGATACAAATGAGCTCTTCCAAGGCCTTGCACGTGCGGCTGAACCCTTGCCTCTGCTGGACACGGGCACCAGCTGATACAGGGGGGTAAAAAACTGGTTGTACTGCATCATCCCATCAGACAAAACATCCGGCACAGCTCAGCTGGCTGAGAAAGCCAAAGCTGGTTGCAAAAAACAATATCAGACTTTAAAAAAACGTGTGTCTCTTAGGGTTTCTAACAGCTGTGTTTCATTTGCTTAGGGAATATTCCCAAGCAACAAGACTCTTTACATGGTCTAACAAAAGAGTATTTTCTTATTTCGTGGGCTGCTACAAGGCTCAGCTGTATCGTGGCTCTACACTGCCCACCACCTTCCAAGCTTTCGCAGGCACCGTTTGCCACAGCCCTGCCCTGTTCCGTGTCTTCTGAGGAAGTTCGTGCCAGAGCTGAGCGTGCAGGTGGGAGCATGGCGGGCGGCAGGCCCCGAGCCCAGCGCCCACCCGGCCGGCGGAGTTGGA